TCTTGTTTTAGTCTTGTTTTAGTCTTGTTTTAGTCCTGTTTTAGTCCTGTTTTAGTCCTGTTTTAGTCCTGTTTTAGTCTTGTTTTAGTCTTGTTTTAGTCCTGTTTTAGTCTTGTTTGCACAAAGGAACCACTCACCCATTCACACACACATTCATACACCAGTGTACGCAGACACAAAGTAATACAAGAATTCCATGCATTTTCTAGAGCAGGGGTTATTATCCATTGATTAGTGCAGAAAGGAAAGTTAGGCTTGAACACGATACGTATACAGTCGTTCTATTCAACAAATTTTTGTTATTCAGCACAAAAATTATATTCTTCAGTGAGATACTGGTGGCCCCTGAGCTACAGGTTGGAGACCCCTGTTGAAAAGGTCTAAACTCAGGGTCAGCAGTTTCTTCTTAGACAGGACAGTTGTTGTTTGCAGTGGACATTCTGTAATATGCATGTAACGATTAAAAAACATTTCTGGCAGAGGCTTCCTGGTTCTCCACAACCTGTCTATCTTGGGTTTATTTAATTACAGATATTTTTAGTGCTAGTGGGTTTGACTCATTGTGGAAAGGAAGGGATGAATGGATAGACCAGGTCATAACAATTCTTCAGGGGTGGAGTGTTCCTGGTCTTTTTATGATCTTTATTTAGCAGACGTTGCTTCTGGGGCTGCACAATATAACGCAATATTGCAATCGTAATTGGAGTTGGTGCAATTCTAAAATCACAAAGACTGCAATTATCTAGATAGTAACATCCTTTAATAATGTCCTTGGAAAAGAACAAAATATCCAGTTTTTGTAATCGAAAACTCTTGTTGTACCCTTATTGTACAATCATTGTTATATCCACTTATCATTCAGCACATGAAAGTTAGAACAGTATATTTTGGGGCTCTGTGTTTATTCTGTGTACATTTTCTTAGCAAATGGAGGGAGATTTGAGCTATTTTGGTTGTAATACAATAATATTTGAACTGTAGAAGGTTGAATAAATCACTTTTATGGCTTAGGGATTAGGGATGTGCAAAAATATCACAATATCAATATATCATATCGTTTAATATGATGATACAGCAGCCCACGATATCAATACTGTATCGATATATCGCCAAGAGTATTTATTGGTAGATTTTACTAAATTATTTTGTTACAGTGCTACAGTTTTGTTTCTTGTTTAGTGAAAGGAAACTTGTTTATGTGACAAATATGAGATTTTCATTGTTTTGATGATTAAAATGTTTGTGTTTCATATGAAATTTGCACAAAAAGTGGTTTAAGAAACACTTTTAGAATAATATCCATCATTTAGTTATTATTTTTTCTTGAACCGTATCAAATAGATATGAAATATTTCGTATCAAACCAAAAGTGCACTGTATCGAGGTATGTATCGTATCAGCAACTTCTTAATGATACCCAGCCCTATTAGGAATGTAACGATATCCAAATCTCTCGATGCGATATTTTAAAGATATGCATCTCTCGGTGCGTTTATTAATTTAGATTTTTTGTGGAAGCCAACAAAATTGTGAATGTGCTACTTTTCTCTCATCATAATCTAAATAATTAAGATTTTAAGTTGTTTTATCATGTGGATTGGACTGAAACAGAGCAAAGGACTGAAACAGAGCAAAGGATCATGGTCTATGTAGTTCCGTCTCTTTTTGCTATCACTGTTATGCTGCACCATAATAGTGATTTTAAGCAAAGAGACTTGAAATTCGATATATTTTAAAGGCCTTAGATATTACTGTGAGACTTTTGACGATACAATATCACAGTGTTTCGCTTATTGTTACATCCCTAATGGCTGTTGGCTGATTCTGTTCTTGATCTGTTGCAGCCTGTGCCTCCTAGATTGATGATGAAATTAGTCTGTCTGTTTAAAAATGCTTTACTAGGATTCTCTTGCATTATTGTCTGTCATGTGTAACTGGTATTAAAGAGTGTTTCAGTATTATAATGGATCACAGTGTCTTTTTGTAGCAGGATATTGTATTTCAAAATGTTTTATCATGACAGGCCTAGTTGTACATGTAGTTTAGACCTTTACGCACATGTTCTGAAGTGCATAGGATTCTTGTATTTGTTTATGAATTCCTTTCCGATATTTCATAGCAAAGTACAATATGATTAATAGGAAAAACAGACGCTTGCCCCCAACTGGAAGTATGACATCATCACATTGTTAAATCTAAAAACCACCCATGGAGGCCGTCCTTTGTGGTCTTAGCAATTAAGCGATTCAAATGAAAATCTTGTACCTTTTGGACACAGAAAGGTCCTCTATGGGTGCTCACAAAGACCTTCAAATCAGGCTCCATGAATATTTACAGAGGTGGGATTTATTCAGTTTTCTTCTTCTCACTCCTTTTCGAGCTCAAATATGAAAAATATGAATATGTGTGTGTGAAATGTACATTAAAAGAGAGAGTGCGTCAAATCCTTTTCTCCTTGGAGATGTTATTGCTTTGTCTGGAATGTTTCACAGTGGCATTAAATCTTTCTATCCTGGCCCGCGTCCGACAGAGCAGTGATTTAATCCGACCCAAGCCCGATAGGTAATATATAGGTTAATATATCTGTGTCCAAACCTGACACAATTAAAACCACACTATTTTCATCGGCCTAATGACACACGTAGGATATTGTTTGTGTTCCTCTAACGGACACAGAGACGCAGAATACAAACTCAGGATAGAGCGAAAATAATGAGAAGACTTTATTCCTCAAAGTGGTAAATTTAAAGTGTAGCCACATCCACATTATCCATAGAAACTGTCTCTGCAAATAATCACATCCAGTCCACAAAACCGCGCTGTAAATCCAGTTTGAAGCATTACAAGTAAAAAGGTGAGAGTAGTTCCTCACGTGTGTTTGTAGATTAGCGATGGTGACTCTACTTCCTGTGGACTTTATTGCCAATCTTTTAATGCTTTTAAAATCCTGTATCTACAGAAAAATCCTGGTTGTTTGCCTGACGAAGGCCTAGTGCCAAATCGTTGCACGGTTTGTCCTAATAAATTTCACAGTTTGCAAGTAAGACGATGTGCGGGATTTTTCTGTATGTTCTGGGGCTGCTCCCTCTCCTCCAACGCACCCGTCTCTAGTAGTTGATGTGCGAGGCTCTCATTCTCTCAAAATCCTGTATCTGAAATATTGCACCACATTTCACAAATAATAATAATAATAAAAACACAGTTTGGACTTGTATCTAAACTAGAAGTGCAGAGCTCTGATCTTTGAGCACTTAAGAGTCTCCAAGCGAGTGATTTTACTGTAGACAGGAAACAACTAACACGATCGCGCTCACAACTTTATATCCTGTGGTCCACAGACATGTCCTGCTGCAGCCATGAACGTCTCTTAAGATTCTCCTTGTGTTTGTGGTGTGCGCTTTTTGTTGCATGAAAAATCCTGTAGTGTATGACGACCTTAAGCTGTTTTTAATTTTATTGCGCTTTTGTGTCTGACTCGAGCCAAACATAAGTTCTATATCAGGGGTGTCCAAACTTTTTTCATCAAGGGCCACATATCTAAACACAGATGAAGCAGAGGGCAGATCGAGGGCCATAGACTGATGCTCAATACCGGGAATAATTGAAATATGTGCTTATTATGTTTATATGTTTAACACATTAGAATGAGCCATCAGTTATTCATGCTAAGATCCTCAAAACCACAAAAAACTTCCAGTAAAACATTAATTTTTAATTGATGTAAGGAAATTTGGCCCAAGTCACCTGGAAGCCTGAGGGCCAAGAAAAATTTGTCCGAGGGCCGCAATTGGCCCATGGGCCATAGTTTGGACATGCCTGTTCTATATATTTGTCAGAGTTCGACCGAGCCCATCGGACTTCGGTCGGGTTTCCATGCTCTATCCTGGAGATCAAACCAGACTAAGTTACAGGTTAGATCTGTGGAGAGGCGATCCGTTCACAGTCAGAGCACCTGTTTTTCTAGGTGTTTTTGAGCTATAAAACCACCTGAATAAACTGAATGGAAGGTAGAGCTGTTTAATGTCATAATGTGGAACATTCCAGACAAAGCAATAATAATAATAATAATAATAATAATAATAATCTGCGTGGAGAAAAGCATTTGACAAACCCTCTACCAGAAAAGTTACACATCGCACCTTTTAAGTGCACTAGATACATGTATACTTCTTGTGTTTATTAATCATCTAGAAATAGAAAAATCAATGGAAATGAAATGAAAATGAATGACTCCTCTTATTGTACTGTACTGTAACACATCTATAATCGTAACAGTGGCCTCCTCGGCGTGTTCTTTAAGGTGTTACTTGCAGACTGGAGGTGAGTGGAGTATAGAGCGATGGCGGTGAGATCTGGATTCTTAGAGCACCATCTGTTCAGGCCTTGATCCTATTTGCAGCAGGTTTATTCTGCCCAGAGAAAGCTGCTCCCGGAGACGCTCACGAGGCACCGCTGCTCCCAAAACAACCCAGGATTAGACTCCCAGGAGCGGGCAACACAGCTCCCAACACAGAATAATCCGACCCTTCACCTGGAGGAGAAAGGCCTATGCAATCTTTTCACGTAATGAGGTTGTCAGAAGTATCAAAAGTCAGTACTAATCGATACTAAAACTGGTATTGAAACTGGATATTCTGGTATTGAGCTGGTATTGATATGAAAAAAGACACATTCACAGGACAGAAATGAACCTTTCCTGAATAGTTTTAGAATGATCTTGATATTAGAGTATCAAGTATAAGAGCACATAGATTAGTATACGCCCTTGGACACTTTGGAACCTACCTGGACCACTGAGGGATTACACAGATACAGAATAAGATCTCACGGTACTAGAAAAGAAAGTACTATTCTTTATGCTGAAAATGTCATTCTATTGTCTAAATAAGGAGTGTTTTTAATTGTTATCGAGTATCAAGTTTATTCCTTAATATGAAAATCAGAGGAGAGGGTTATATTTATTTACTTATCTTTATCTTTGTCTTTGTCTTTATCTCCAGGTCAGTGACAGACCCTCGAGACGGAAAGAGAGTGGCCCTTAAAAAGATGCCCAATGTCTTCCAAAACCTGGTGTCCTGTAAGAGGGTTTTTCGGGAGCTCAAGATGCTGTGCTTCTTCAAACATGAAAATGTGAGTGGAATCTGAATGTAAATATTTTGTATTTTAAGGGCGCACTCACACTAGTCCAATCGAAAAGTACCCAAACACGGATAGGCCCTAAAGCTTTGGTACGTTTGTCCAGCGTGAACGCAATCTGTTACTATACGAGCTCTGTGTGTGCGCTGATGTCACTCAGACGAGGAAAACAGTGAATAAACTCTGCTCCAAAACACACGGAGAGTCTGCACTCACTTTTAATAAGGACTGTGACAGAGAGAGTCGTTTTGCAGCCCCTCAATCCTTTGCACTGTTATTATATCCAGAAACTCACAGAGGATCATCTCACAGCACGACTCAGATCTGTCTCACTATTTAATTTTTATTTATTTTTTGTGACTTATTTTTTATTAAGTATTTTATACAATAACAAAACAGGCACCCATATATACATACATACATCACTGATACACATGTTACACCCTGGAATACTACTGTTTTTTATAGGTACATAGCTGGAGCAGCGCTAACTATTAACTAAATTTCACTGCGATATTTAGACCATTTAGCCCATGTTGCGTAATAAACATCAGCTTGAAGCCTTAGCATGTATGTCACACATTCCATTTTATGAGTTTCTCCAATAATTTTTAACCAGTCTTCTAATGTAGGTGGATCTGGTTGAAGCCATTTACGTGTAATTACGTTTTTTGCACAGGCACAAAGGATTTTGAATAAATATCTGACATTGTTAGGTAAATCATATATCCCCCATGTATAGTGTCATCAATTTTATTGATATTTCAAGTTGCTGGATTTTTTTCTCCACTAAATCGATGGCTCCACTGCATGACATGTAACAAACAGCGTCACTCTGTCGTGATGTCTTCGAGCTGTGGCTCAGGTTGAGCAGGTGTAAGTGTGACCATAGAACCCAACACAATCACAGCTCGACAGTCCTAGTGTGAGTGCACCATAAATCATTATATATTAAAAAAAACAATGTATCAAAATGAGAATATTAGTCAAATATGACTCCTGTTTGTCATTGTAGTTCAGTGTAGGACTGGGCTGCTCCATCACAGCAGAAATTATAATCACGATTATTTGATTGACTATTGGAATCATAATTATTTCACTCTGTTACTAACAAAATTAAAGGCCCTATACCAGATTTTTACACACTTAAAACCATGAAAAACACAACAGTTTGCATTGTCCAAACATATTTCTCACTGTGCCTACGCTAATTATTCACAGCAGTGAATTTATACAGGCTTTTCACAACAGACTGTTTACAACTAACACCAGCCTTAAAACAATAAAAACACTTTATAATTAGATGCAGCACTCAGCAGTCTCATTATGACCAAAGTTTGTCTTGTGCTGAGGCAAGACAAATGTTCCTCAAATCAGGTAGAGCCCCTTTAACAGTCGTATCAAAATGTGACAGTAATATTGTGTTGCTCTACCCGTTTTTGTGTATTTTATAAACTGTTTGTGTTTGTGCTCAGGTTCTCTCTGCTCTGGACATTCTCCAACCTCCACACATCGACTACTTTGAGGAGATGTATCCTTTACTCACCACATCCAAATATAGGAGGAGGTTAGAATAGGTTGTGTTGACGTGACATTAAACATTGTATAATCCCTATTGAAACACGCTGGGGGTGTTCTACCTGTACGTCTGTGGCGTGATGTTCAGCAGTTACATGAAACAGAAAACGCACACCAAAATTCTTATAGAGGTGCAAATGCAAGGAACAGCAAAATAAAAGTGAAAAAATGCATCGCACACTCAGATGTTCAATAGAGCTGGTTTCTTTGGACTCTTGGATCTCGCGTCTTAAATCTCTGGTCCAAAGCAAGAAAAATATCTGACGTAGGCTTTTTTTGCCAAAACGTTATTTAAAAATATAAAAAATCTTTTGGACATCGGCCATCTGAGTGTGCTGTGCATTTTTTCACTTTTGTAACGTTCAGCAGTTACCATGGTGACTCAACGTGCACCGTAGCACACTGCAAAAACGCTTGGCCAAAATTTAAGATATAAACACTTAAATCTATCAGAAAATGAAATGATCTGTTCGTGCTGCAAGATCATTTTACTTGCCAAGTTCTCTTAAAATAAACTACCTCTAGACTAGAATTAAACAGTCTCAGAACCAGTAAATAAATAGTAAATCGGAAAACCTGATACAAGTTTTAAGATTTTGGCCAGATCAGAGAAATTTGCAGAGTAAGCTCAGCCAGAAAGTTTGAAGAATGATAACAAAATGGATTTATAGAGCACATTTTCAGGAGCCTGTGATCGATAAGAGCGTTCATGGTCCGGTTTAGGAGTTTGGTTTTCAACAAAAAGATGAGAGTGACTAATTAAAAAACTATCCTGTGACCATAATTTTATGTGAGAGACATCAGCTCACCTGTTGTAGTTCCAGATAAGTCACTTCTTTCTGGTCAGATCATGTTGAATTAAAGCTTAGAGTCTTGAGTAAGAGCTCCAGACAGAGCCGTGCCTCCAGTTAGAAATCTATCTGACAATTATCTAGCCTCTGAAACACTTGCTCTCATGTCATTGGTCAGATTTCTTGTGTGTTGTTGTATCCTTGACTCTGATTGGTCAGATATGTGGTGACTGAACTGATGCAAAGCGATCTCCATAAAATCATCGTTTCTCCGCAGCCTCTGAGCTCGGACCACGCCAAAGTGTTCCTCTACCAGATCCTCCGAGGTTGGTCACACTCCAAATGAAGAGATAAAAATCTAAAATTACATCAATTACAATGGAGGTTTAGAATGTGAATTAGTTTTGCATAAGTAGTATACAATGACATTTATTTGTTCAACCCCCTTCCACCTCAGCTCACACAACTACAAGGCAAGGCAAGGCAAGTTTATTTGTATAGCACAATTCGTACACAAAGTAATTCAAAGTGCTTTACAGAATAAGAAATACATTAAAATCATAATAAAAACAAATCAAAACATGAAGATTAAAATTAAAAAAGAGAGAAGAGTGCGGAATGAAAACCTTTCAGTTATCAGTTAACTACAACTACAACTACAACTACAACAACTACAACAACTACAACAAAACAACTACAACAACTACAACAACTACAACAACTACAACAACTACAACAACTACAACAACTAATACAACTAATACAACTAATACAACTAATACAACTACAGCAACTAATACTATGATTACTACAACAACTACTACAGCAACTAATACAACTACAGCAACTACAATAACTATTACAACAACTACTTCAAAAAAACTACTACAACAACTACTACAGCAACGACTACAACTAATACAACAACTACAGCAAGTTCAGCAACTACTACTGCAACTACTACAGAAATTACTATACTACTACAACAACTACAATAACAACTATGTAACAACTACTACTACAACAATAAGCACTACAACTACTACTACAAAAACTACTACAAAATTACTACATTACTACAACTAATACAACAACTACGGCAACTACCACATCTTTTACTACAACTACTACAACAGCAACTACTACTGCTTTTACAACAACTACTACTACAAAAACTACAACAATAACTACTAGAAGAACTACTACAGCAACTACAACAACTATTACTACAACTACTACTACAAAAACTACTACACAACTACAACTACTACAACTACAGCAACTACTACTACTACTACTACTGCAACAACTACAACAATAACTACTACAACAGCTACTACAGCAACTACTGCAACTAATACAACAACTACGACTACAAATACTACTACTACTACTGGGAAGCCATGTGTGGATTATGTTACAGAAAAAAATGTTTCAGAAAAAGTCTGCAATATTTCTCTATATGAAAGCTTTTCCAGTGGTGGTTTATAACTCTTCTTCTTAATCCTCAGGTCTAAAATATCTTCATTCTGCTGGCATTTTACACCGAGACATCAAACCTGGCAACCTCCTGGTCAACAGCAACTGTGTGCTCAAGGTAGGTCATGTCCAAAGTCACTATAACATTATTTCGAGTAACCTTACTTTACTATGCTTGTCTTTGGTTCAGATCTGTGACTTTGGTTTGTACTTCTACTCGAGTAGCATTATTTTGAAGTAACCTTACACTACATTACACTGCTTGTCTTTGGTCCAGATCTGTGACTTCGGTCTGGCCCGCGTGGAGGAGACAGACGAGTCGAGGCACATGACGCAGGAGGTGGTGACGCAGTATTACCGCGCCCCCGAGATCCTGATGGGCAGTCGTCACTACGGCAACTCCATCGACATCTGGTCTGTGGGCTGCATCTTCGCCGAGCTGCTGGGGCGGAGGATCCTCTTCCAGGCACAGAGCCCCATTCAACAGGTGAGGTTAAAGCGCCGCCGTGGAACTCTTTCTGGTTCCCGTGGGAAGTAATTTGCTGGAATAACCTTTAATTGAACAGTTTAAATCTACAGAATGTACGGCAGAAATAGCTCTCTAAATGGTCACATTTTATACGCCACTTTTCCACTTTCAAGGCACTCAAAGCACTTTACATGAAGAACCCACTCACCCATTCACACACACATTCATACAGCAGTTTACACGAATTTTGCCACAATAACAGCATTCATCTGTGGGAGCTGGAATCGCACCGCCAACCTGTGGGTTTGTGGTTCTGACTGCTCTACCGATGATCTTTTGATCTGATAATTATTGAACCTGTTCCATCTACTGTAACTATTCACTACAATGAGTTTATAAGCACATAAGAGTCCCGTCAAGTGGTAACGGAGGGAAACAGGGGCAGATTTTTGACATTCAAATGTCTCTTATTCAGAAACTATTCAGGACTATTGAAATAAGTAAAGTATCAGAATGTAGGAAAGAGTTACACTCCAACAGGGTCAAGTTAAACCTGTGATATTCTTTCAAGTTGTTGACAAAAAAGTTAAAAACTCATGTTGGTAACGGAGGGAATGAAATATGCAGCACTTTTTGGGCAATAAATCCAAACAGTGATAAGTCTTGGTTCTCACTTACATATCCTTAACAAACTGGTTTGAATATTTGCTTCATATAGTTTTCTACCATATGGTACAAGATTAGGTTGAAAAACCTCTTACTTTTTGACTCATGAGATTTTTTATTAAGAAAGGTCATGGTAACGGAGGGAAAATTGTGCAAACAAGTAGAAGGTGCAGGATTTTACATCATTTGTCGCTTTTTTCTTCTGAATACTTTAATATTACTTCAAAATGAAAGGAAACTATTTCTATAAAATATGTCAGTCCTTCCAAGCAAATTTTTATCATTTTAAATAAATTTTTTTTGGAAAAATCATGTACCTTCATCAACAGTTCAAAGATGGAATAACACAAGATATGATGAAATACATCCATTTATTGACATGATTTGCAGGTCTTTGAAATTTGGGAAATAATTTTTGTTCCATGTTTCATACATGGTCTGTTTAAAACATATGGAACTTTAGAACCAAAAATGGTACAGAAAAAAGGTCAACAGTTTCATAAACTAGAGTACATATGTATCTGTTCAATACATTTTTATATCAGATGCATTAACTTGAATTTTTGGCCTTGTTGTTTACTTCTGCTTGACTGGGCCCAGTAGCTCAGTTAGTAAGAATGTTTGTCTTCTGATCTGAAGGTTGGCAGCTCGAATCGCGGCACGATTTCAGCTCCCACAGATGATTTCTGTTGTTTAATCCAATCCACTTTATTTTTATAGCACATTTCATACACAAACAGTTTTTAAAGTGCTGCACAAATACTTAATAATAACAACAATAATAATAATATAATGATTAAATAAACACTCAGATTTAATCATGCTAGTCTTAAATCAATAAAACCAGTAAAAAACAAAATAAGCGCAAATAGTTGTTGTGTCATTGGGCAAGACATTTACTGTATTTTCCAGGCGATTAGCCGTGGTCTTAAGCCTCTAACCGCATCAAAAAAGGACCGCGCGCCCCGCAGTCAGAGCGCCTCATACATGAATCCACTCGGGTGTCCCAGCACGACTTCAGTAAACTATAAAGCTGCACCACCCACAGCGCATGCGAACACACACGGAGCAGACAGCGACCACAAAGCAAAACACACCCACAGACACACTCATCACTCCACGCCGACGAGAAACGGAACGGAGGAACAAACTGAAAAAGCGAGTGCAATGTGCCACTTCTAGACACAACTGAACAAATGAGACATCACGACCGATCCAGTGGTCCCGGCGGTCCCAGACAGCATCCTCCCAACACGCCACAATTGAACAAAGCCCAGAGTCACTGTGACTGCACCAAACAAAGTCCCACTGACCCATCCAACTGTTGTGTTTCGCTTAAAGTCTAGTGCGGTTTATTTGTGAAAAAAGTTCGAAAATAGACCATTTAATGACAGTGCGCCTTATAATCCAGAGTGCCTAATCGTCCATAAAATACGGTAACCCATCTCGCCCCCAGTGTCTGCGTACACTGGTGTGTGAATGTGTGTGTGAATGTGTGTGTGAATGGGTGAATGCGCTTTGAGTGTCTTGAAGGTGGAAAAACACTGTATACAGATATGACCAAAATGTGACCACTTTTCGCAGCTTTAAAACTCCAGAGTTTTGTCGTGACTGCAAACCTAACAACAGCCAGCATGGTAACGCACATGTCCTGATTATCAGACAATTATACATTTTAGACTTAGACTCAGACAAACTGTTTTGATCCACAAGGGAAATAGTTTGGACACAGTAGCTCACACATCACAATAGCAAAAATATAAATGGTAATAAATTCCAAAAAATAAGTAGCGAAAAAGATATAGAGACAGGTGTCAAATAAGACATAATCATAAATGTAAATGTACAACCAAAAATAAAATGAGACATAATTATATAAATGTAAATGTACAAGTCAAAATAAAATAGAAAGATATATAGCTGGATGTCGGCACCACGCAGCAGATAAACACATGGGGGAAAAAAATGATTTCAGGGTCTTTAAAGGTGCACTACGTAACTTTTCACCTTTTTGTCTCTATAGAAATGTGATCGCTCTACTTAGAATGGTTATATCGCTCAGAAATACCTAGAAAAACAGACATTCTGACTGTGAGTGGGGTCTCCACTCCACAGATCGGACCTGTAACTTGGTCTCAGTGGAGATAGAAAGGTTACATACCGTGAAACATTCCAGACAAAGCAATAACATCTCTGTGGAGAAAAGTATTTCAGTTTCACAATGCACCTTTAACTAAAATGCTTGTGTATTTGCTTTTGTGTTGTAGCTGGACCTGATCACAGACCTGTTGGGGACGCCGTCGATGGAGGCCATGAGGACGGCGTGTGAAGGAGCCAGAGCGCACATCCTCAGAGGCCCACACAAACAGGTAACACACAAATACTGCTAAAACGTTTAGGTTGTGGGGCTGTCACCTGCTTGTTTCTATATGTCATCACGCTGCCTGGAATGTTCCTTAGTATGACATTAAACAGCTCTACTTTACATTTATTCAATTCCAGGTGGTTTTATAGCTCAAAAATGCCTTGAAAAACAGACATTCTGACTGTGAGCGAGGTTGCCTTTCTGTCTGCATATAAGTGTCTGTTTTTGAACAAAAAGCTGCAAATAAGTACTAAGGACAAAGACTGAGTTTGTGCTGCCTCTAGTGGCCCCTGTGGTTTCACACACGCATCACACAGGACTTCCCTGATTACAGCAGGGGCAGAGTTTGAAGTGTGGATACCATAGAACTATAATCAAATCTGGAATATGAATCCAAGATGGCGTCGTATTGTTTTTAGTTGCCTGAGTTCATTTGCGCATGGGCCCAAAAATAATTTTATCTTCCGCATTTACTTCCTCCCACTTGTGCGATGTCTGTAATGTGCACGGCATGGAGCGTTTGGACCAATCAGAGCGAGGGCTAGGCTAAGTCTTTCAAAGCTAAATTTTATGCGCTTTGAGGATTTAAGAATATTTTAAAGTTTATGTTGTGAAAATAGAAAAGTACCATATTTTCCTCAATATAGGACACTCTGGATTATAAGGTGCACTGTCATTGAATGGTCTATTTTCAAACTTTTTTCACAAATAAACCGCACCGGACTTTAAAGGAAACCCAACAGTGTGATGGGTGAGTGGTTTTGTTTGTTTGTCGTGTTCACGGTGACTCTGGGCTTTGTTCAGTTGTGGCGTGTAGGGAGGGTGCTGTCTGGGACACGCTGGATTGTCGTCGTGTTCGCAGTGACTCAGTTGTTCAGTTGTGTCTAGAAGTGGCACATTGCACTCGCTTTTTCGTTCGTTTTTGTTCCGTTCCTCGTCGGCGTGGAGTGATGAGTGTGTCTGCGGGTGTTTATCGCTGTGCGGTCACTGTCTGCTTCCGTGCGTGTTTGGTTTGGTGGTGCGGCTTTGTAGTTTACTGAAGTCGTGCTGGGACACCTGAGTGGATTTGTGTATAGGGCGCTCTGGATTGTGGGGCGCGCCGTCATTTTTTAATGGGGATGGAGGCTTAAAAGAGCGTCTAATAGCCTGGAAAATACAGTATCCCTACAAAATCCAACCTTTGTGAAAGCTGCGGATCCCCTGCCAGTCGAACATGGGCAGTTTGAATTCCCAAAAGTGCATTGCGTTCTATGGGAGAATTCTTTCTGGGCCCAAGCTCTCAGGAGGTGCAGTACCTGGAGCCACCACTAGTCAGTCAGTTTTTATTATAGATCCATGGTGGATACCTGTTAGACCAATCACACCTTTCCTTATATTATACTCCCAAACCCCGCCCCTTCTCCCCTCTCACTCTTTTCTTAAGTCGTCCAGGTGCTGCCCGAGTGAGCTGCTCTGTTTTAAACACGTTCTCTGCGTTAGGTTATTTTTATAGCCGTGTTTGAAAATGCAAAGCGAAGCCAGTCGGAGTCACGCGAACACACTGCACACACTCTGCAGTTTCCCCACAGGGACGAAGAAAGCATTCTGTCTCAGTAACTGCAAGAAGACTTTTATCAACGAATGTCAGAATCAGGAATTGTTGTAAATGAGTGCAGGGAGTGATTTTTTTAGACACTCCAAGATCACAGTTTCAAAATTATCAGCTGAATGTGTTAAAGTGTTTTTTTATTTGTTAAATCCACTTGTTGCTCAGAGCGTAACCGAGGCTAACCAATAGGAGGAGTGGGAGGGAAAAAAAACTTTACACAGATGAAGTCACGACAGAATGATTTGACCGAAAAAGGCAGAGGGTCAGATCATGTGTATCATTCTCAGGATTTGCTCTGCCCTGGGTTCAGTCCAGTGTGGTTGGAGGATTTGTGCAGACTCCAGATTACTGCGGTTAATGGGACTAACACCAAGGTCACAATCAAAACGTGACAAACACAGCTCACCAAACTAGAGATTTACATACAAGCCGGTCAGGAAAACACAATTTCAGACTATGAAATCAAATTAAAGTCATTATTCACACACTTCAGTGGTTAAATTTTGGCTTTTTAATCAACACAGGACTAATTGCACCAAATGATATGTTTTTTGTTTTTGTTTTGGGAGGAAGTGTCAGACTTCCGAGGAATAAATTGGACGTTGTTTATGTTAAATGGCTCTGGAGTGGGCTCGAGCTAATTTCACGAAAAAGACAGACTTTTAATCAGGGCCAAAAATAGTCTCTAGAGATGGAGGCTTTGTTAAAGGTACAGTAACGGAAAAACAGACTTAGGAACATTCGACTTGGATATAGGTTGTGCGTGGTTGTGTGCAATGTTAGAGTGAAAATAACAACAGTTCGTGGAGACAAGTAGGCCAAATGAGTCAGGTTTGTGGAGGTGCAAGCCCGCTCAGAGTAAGGGCACATGCTTTTCAGTGCAATAAACGCAATCAAACCAAAAAACATGCTTTACTTTTGTTCTGGTTTGTTGGCTAAAAAGTTACATAGTGACTAGGAATGTATTGATATCCAAATCTCTACAATATTATCACGATATGCATCTCACAGTATGATATTTATTGCAATATTTTGGAGAGGTTATTATTATTGTAGGCAGGATACGTGTTTGCTTTTAAAAAATATTTACAAGATTCTGGTGTGAATTATTACTGCCATAATCCTAAGAATTCAAGTAAAAACATATTTCTTCATGTTGTCTGCACTGAAATGAATCGTGGGATATGTAGTTCCCTATGCTTATTGGCTCTTACTACTATAAAACCTGCATTTAAGCAAAGAAATTTGTAATTCCATATACTGTGACAGCCCAAGATATTGTGAGACGACACAATATCACGATATTTTGATTATTGTTACATCCCTATTACTGATCACTGTTTAACTCTTGTGTGTTGTTGTGTGCAGCCGTCTCTGTTGTGCGCTACGCTCTGTCTACGGCCTGATATGATATTTTCTGCATTATATGTTGTTCTGGATTATAAGGCACACTGTCATTGAATGGTCTATTTTTGAACTTTTTTCACATATAAACCGCACTGGACTATAAGGCGCATTAAACGAAACACAGCAGTTAGATAAGTCAGTCAAACATTATTTGACACGTAACACATAAAAAAAATACTGTCTGAGATGCTAAATTGTTAGAGTATTTACAGTAACTCAATTGTTCAGTTATAACTAAAAATTACACATTACACTGACTTTTTCAGTTCATTCCTCGTCCACAAATCACTCAAATTTTTCATCTTCAGTGTCCAAGTTAAACAGTTGGGTGATTCCGGGGTCCAGCACTTCCACATCCCTCTTGTCATTATCCGAGTCAGTGTGGTTACTGTTCCCTGGCAGTTCAGTGATGATTCTGGTCTTGGTGAAAGCTCAGACCACAGTTGATACTGATCCTTAGCCCAGGCGTCCATGATCCGTTGGCAGATCGTGGCGTAAGTCATTTGACGCCGTCTCTCTTGGTGAATGTGTGTTCTCCTTCTTTCATCCACTGCTCCCACGCAGCTCGCATTTTCACTTTGAACGACTTGTTGACACCAACATCTAGCCGCTGAAGTTCTTTCGTTAACCTACCCAGAACGATGGCAAGCACTGAATTAATTTTCTTCCTTCACTTCTGTACCATTGATTCATTAATGTTGAATTCTCTCGCAGCTGCTCTATTCCCATGTTTTACTGCGTGACTTATAGTCTTGAGTTTAAAGTGGGTGTTGTGAGCGTGTCTCTTGACAGGTGCATTTTGATATAAAAGGAATCACAGTCTGTATTACTCCTGATGCTCCTGACTACGGGAGCTGTAATGCTGCAAGTGGAGTGGCTTTGTAGTTTACTAAAGTCATACTAAAACACCCCAATAAATTCAGATATAAAGTGCTCTGGATTATAAAGCACGCACTTGTTTTTGGATGAAATTAAAGACTTTTAAGTGCGCCCTATAGTGCGAAAAATACGGTATCTAAAGTGTGTATATATATATATATAAAGTCCAATAATGTTTGTTTAACTCTTGTGTGTTTTGTGTTGTTGTGTGCAGCCGTCTCTGCCTGTGCTCTACACTCTGTCTAGCCAAGCGACCCATGAGGCGGTGCATCTCCTCTGCCGCATGCTGGTGTTCGACCCGGTGAGTCAGAGCCTCCGGAAGCCCACTGGTCTGGGTAAAAATAGCCCTCCTCATTCACACACTCACACTCGGGCTGTAATTATAGACTGCACGCCCGCTTGTTTAACCCCAGTGAGTTATCGGCATCTCCAACGTCACTGCCGACCCCGCGACGCTGTTCCAGGGCACTCTGAAAAAGTGCACATGACAGCTTTTCATGTTCTTCTAATTATTACTTAGTTTAGTGGCATAGTGCCTCTGCTGAATATTTGTCATAGTTTTACATCAGTTAAGCTCTACTTTGTGAAGAAATGTTGGAATGAAAATGTAAGAAAATTCTATAATTATTATTATTTTTGAGTTAATATCTTTAAATGACAGCTGTAACCAAAGCCCAAAATCTATGAATACACAAAACTCCATTCAAAATGCCAGAACTATGTTTGTGCAAAAACAAAATTTTTTGACAGTTTAAACATTACTTTAACAAAATAAAGTTGCTTTTTATTTGTCAAATGATAATTATTGGGTAAATTAGTGATCTTTTGCCCTTTTTAACATTATGGTTGCTAGGTAACAGTTATGGAAGTACCTTTACACTTTTATGCCGGAAGTAAAAAGTATGATCTTGGCAACAGATGTAACTTTTCTGGTGGAGGGTCGGATCTGTGGAGACAGGAGCCCACTCAACAGGAAGAATGGATTTTTGAATGCTATTTTTGAACTATAGAAAATGGAAACACGGCTATAGTGCACCTTTTAAATGTAATCATCTTATTTTAGTTGTCTAACCTGTCTCTATCGGTCTTGTTTCCTCCTCCTCCTCCTCCTCCCCTGTGTGCCCTGCAGTCGAAGCGTATCTCAGCGAAGGACGCCCTGGCTCACCCGTACCTGGACGAGGGCAGACTCAGGTACCACACCTGTATGTGCAAATGCTGCTACACCACCTCCTCCGGACGCGTCTACACCAGCGACTTCGAGCCCGTCACCAACCCCAAGTTTGACGACGGCTTCGAGAAGAACCTCAGCTCGGTGCGCCAGGTCAAAGGTCAGTGCTGCTGAAGGAGATGGTTTTATGATGGTTTTAGAGTCGTGAGCTTTAAGAGCTGAGATGGGAGTGTGCTAGCCCGGCAACTCCAACCACTAGGTCAGGAATCAAAATACACTAGATGATCCGCAAAAACCCCGGAAGTGCGAGTTCAGGCACCAGCCAATCAGCGAAGAGCCAAATATTCTGTGTTGACAACGATTCCCGAGATTAAGGATTTAAAGGCAAAACAAAGAGAATGTTTGGTGAATTTTATCAAGGGGAAAGACGTTATTGCTCCTATGGGATTTGGGAAAAGCTTAATATACCGATTAGGGATGGGCATTCAATTAAATTTTCTTAATCGATCGCCGGGAGAATTAACGATCAGTTATCGATCATCATTATTATTACTATCTGCACTACTAATCTGCATAAATAAATTCAACTTTACGACATATAAACCGTAACCACTCTAGAGCCACATCAGCCCGTTTGACATTAGAATGTGTTTAATGCAGATTTGTGCAAGACTCACAGAAACCAAACTTAAAACCACATGGCTAATTTGCATAAACTAAGCAAAGAAAAAAAACAGCTCTTGTGTCGCTGATGTGGTTCAACTTCTGTCGGATTAAAGGACACGACTAGTTAGTGTGACCGTATTTGCGTTTGTCAAAACCAGGACACCGTACGGGGGGAGGGAGGTGGGGACTCGTCATCGACATTGAGCGACTCTCACCTGGCAAAACTTTTTCCCACTGGACACAGAAACATATGTGCCTGCTTTGTGCACATGGCCTCACACTTGTCCCGACCGGAACGGAAAGGAATTTCTTGTACAAGTCATCGTTAAATACGCATTTGTGCTTCAGTACGTTGCAGACTGACCGACTGTTTGTGTCTCGCTCCTTCTGAGTGCAGAGAGACACATGTACAGACCACTCTTTGGTCACCCTACACTACGCACAGCAACCTACATTCGGTTTGTCGATTAAAATTAACATAATCGATGAAATTCTTAATGATCAATTATCGATTAATCGACTAATCATGCCCATCCCTAATACCGGTGCATTACATACATCACGACCAAGTAGTAGCGATTGGTTAAATGATAAAAAGTACACGCCTACTGTTGAGCGAACGAATTCTAACACTGCGAGGTCAGATGGTTTTTACAAAGTGAAACCGTCTGGTAAATCAGGCTAGGAGTGTGCTGCATTGTCAAAAGGTTTTTAAAGCCGGCAGGTTGTTTTAGGGAATGTTTACATATTTACATTTAAGTGTTAGTGGCCAAACCTCCTGATCAAAGCCTGATCGCGTCACTCCTCAGAAGACAAGCGGGGCCAGGCCTGGACCTGGCCCACACGGATTATCAGGATTATGCCACAGTGGGGCAGCAGTAGCAGTTGTTGTGTCCTTAGGCAAGAGCTGTCATGCTAACAAAGCACTTTCTGGTTCTTGGAAGATAAAACACTTTAATTGGATGCAAACAGCAGGTATCTGGGACAGCCGCTTTAATGAGACCTTCAACTGTTTTCACCATTGTCAGATCAGCGCGGTCTGAACACACTCCCCACATGAACACGTTTCACAACTTTCAGACGCCAGAATGGAGTTTGAGCATCATCCTAGCACCTCCTATAGTCACACTGCTTAGTATGGAGGAGCCAGTGACGCAGTTTGGCAGCTTTGGTTCAGTCTTTCAGTGTGCCCCAAGACAGCTGTGACTACAATAATATCTAAATCCAGGATTTAGTATCGGGGAATGAATAATGCCTTTAGTGTAGTTAAGATGATTGTAGAAGAAAGCTTAATACAAATATTGTTTACCTTTTGTGTTATTTGTTCAGAAATCATCCATCAGTTCATCCTGGAGCAGCAGAAGGGCAGTCGAGTCCCGCTCTGCATCAACCCTCAGTCCGCCGCCTTCAAGAGCTTCATCAGGTAAAAACACTGACACAAGAACTTCATCAGGTAAAAACACTGTGACACAAGAACTTCATCAGGTAAAAACACTGACACAAGAACTTCATCAGGTAAAAACACTGACACAAGAACTTCATCAGGTAAAAACACTGTGACACAAGAACTTCATCAGGTAAAAACACTGTGACACAAGAACTTCATCAGGTAAAAACACTGACACAAGAACTTCATCAGGTAAAAACACTGTGACACAAGAACTTCATCAGGTAAAAACACTGACACAAGAACTTCATCAGGTAAAACACTGTGACACAGAACTTCATCAGGTAAAAACACTGTGACACAAGAACTTCATCAGGTAAAAACACTGTGACACAAGAACTTCATCAGGTAAAAACACTGACACAAGAACTTCATCAGGTAAAAACACTGACACAAGAACTTCATCAGGTAAAAACACTGACACAAGAACTTCATCAGGTAAAAACACTGTGACACAAGAACTTCATCAGGTAAAAACACTGACACAAGAACTTCATCAGGTAAAAACACTGACACAAGAACTTCATCAGGTAAAAACACTGACACAAGAACTTCATCAGGTAAAAACACTGACACAAGAACTTCATCAGGTAAAAACACTGTGACACAAGAACTTCATCAGGTAAAACACTGTGACACAAGAACTTCATCAGGTAAAAACACTGACACAAGAACTTCATCAGGTAAAAACACTGACACAAGAACTTCATCAGGTAAAAACACTGACACAAGAACTTCATCAGGTAAAAACACTGACACAAGAACTTCATCAGGTAAAAACACTGACACAAGAACTTCATCAGGTAAAAACACTGACACAAGAACTTCATCAGGTAAAAACACCGTGACACAAGAACTTCATCAGGTAAAAACACCGTGACACAAGAACTTCATCAGGTAAAAACACTGTGACACAAGAACTTCATCAGGTAAAAACACTGTGACACAAGAACTTCATCAGGTAAAAACACTGTGACACAAGAACTTCATCAGGTAAAAACACTGTGACACAAGAACTTCATCAGGTAAAAACACTGACACAAGAACTTCATCAGGTAAAAACACTGACACAAGAACTTCATCAGGTAAAAACACTGTGACACAAGAACTTCATCAGGTAAAAACACTGACACAAGAACTTCATCAGGTAAAAACACTGTGACACAAGAACTTCATCAGGTAAAAACACTGACACAAGAACTTCATCAGGTAAAAAACACACACAAGAACTTCATCAGGTAAAAACACTGACACAAGAAATTCATCAGGTAAAAAACACTGTGACACAAGAACTTCATCAGGTAAAAACACTGTGACACAAGAACTTCATCAGGTAAAAACACTGACACAAGAACTTCATCAGGTAAAAACACTGACGACTGGACTCAGTTTCACTCTCCATTTATAGTGACACACGGGTCATTATAGTGACATGCCCGGGAGCATGTCCCACCGGGAGGAGGCCCTGGGGAAGACCCAGGACACGCTGGAGGGACTGTGTCTCTGGGCTGGCCTGGGAACACCTTGGGGTCCCCCCGGAAGAGCTGGAGGAAGTATGTGTGCAAAGGGAATTCTGGGAGTCCCTGCTTAGAGTGCTGCCTCCGCGACCCGGCCCCGGATAAAGAGGAAGAAAATGGATGGATGGGAATCTAAATATATTCATTAATCTGACAATTAATACCACTGGACTTGATTTAGGAGTTGTAATTTTGAAGACTAAATGAGGCAACCCACTCTGTATGAGTTACCAAAGAAATAATATGATCAAGTGTTTTTGCCTCAGAATAATGAATCTTTCCACATGTACTAGACCAGGAATACACCAAGAATACACCAAGAATACACCGGGACTAGACCGGGACTAGACCGGGACTAGACCGGGACTAGACCGGGACTAGACCGGGACTAGACCGGGAATAGACCGGGAATAGACCGGGAATAGATCAAGAATAGATCAAGAATAGATCAAGAATAGATCAAGAGGTTTTAAAATAATAAAATCACAATTGAGCCTGTGTTGCCAGTGCCTAAACCTGTAGATAGAGGACACATCTGATTTCGTCTCATTCTCAGTTTATGTTCAGAACCTCCAGAATTCCCTGTCTGAGCTGCAGAGGCTGCACTAGCACTGACTCATGATTGGCTGCAGGGGTTGGAGGGTTAGGTAGTGCCATTTCAAATATTTCTCTCTTATCTTACCTTTCCGTTGTGGTGTTTTGCAGCTCTACGGTGGCACAGCCCTCTGAGATGCCTCCGTCTCCGCTGGTGTGGGAATGAGGACCATCTCTCCTTCTTCCTCCTCCTCCTCTTCCTCATTTTACTCATCTTTAAACCTGCGTAGCATTTCACTGGACAGGTCTGCTCTGTGTCTACTGAATGAAGAAAAGCCCACAGACCAGCGCTTTACGGGAGTGACTGATGTTAGAGTTAGTTATTTGGTCTTGGGATGGTTTTTGCCACAATTTGTAGGTCCTCCACTTCACTAAACCAGGACTATACAAAGGTTTTAAAGATTTTATTCATGTTGTAATGGCATTTGCACCTTAAAAACATATTTAAAGTACTATTATATTTCATTCATGTTTGAATAATCCTGCATGCTAAGAGTTGTTCCCCATTATTTCCACTAGGAGGCAGTAGACACCTGATCCAAGCATTCTTTGCCTTGTGAAAGAAACAGCTACTTGGATACATATGTAATATAAATACATGTAACTATACTCTCTATTACGATGTTATTTGTCTCTTATTACCACTAGTGGAAAAAGTACTAAAGTAAAAGTACTGTTACAGGTTATAAGTGAATTCATAGTATAGTTATTTAAGTTTTTACCCCAATTTTGGTAGCATTTTTTGGTAGTCTTTTATTCAAAACTGTATTAATTGAACAGTTTAAATCTAAATTAAGATATTTAAACCATAATCCACATATTCCCTTTCTTTTTGCAAATATAATAAAGTAGTTCCCTAAAAAAATATTCGATTGCAGTAATGTGAAGTGAATATTTGTAATGAGTTACTTTCTATCGTTATGACAGTGCTGTAATTATAATGAAAAGTCTCTTGTGGGTTATTTCAAATGGAAAATAATGCTTCAAATATGTGTCTACTGCCTCCTAGTGGTAACGGAGGAGAATGCTACCACAAATGTCCTCGAACGTATGGGGAAAACTCCAAAAATCTAAATGCAGCCTTTTGAGAAATTACTGAGAAATGACTAAAATTTGTAACATCTTATTCTTCAAGATGCATTTATCCTTTGTAATATATATATTCTAATATTTCGCAGTCATAGTTTTATTCTTGATGTGGCAGAAACCATCCTGTATTTTTAAATGAAAACTTAGTCGACCAAATCTTAAAGGGTTTGTCCATCACTTCCATACGATGTGGACCTTAATGATTCTATATGAAGACTTTTGTTTAATATATTCAGTATTATGGGTAAATAATAGTCTATATTTAAGTAGATTTCTTGATGTTGTTGACGCCCCCACATGGTTTGACACTGGGAAGTTGCCAAAATGAGCTTTGAATTCAGACAATCGATGAAGTTAAAGGTGCGTTGTGAAACTTTTCTGGTGGAGGCTCTGCTCGTTTCCATGGATATGTCACCGCTCTGCCTGGAATGTTCCACAGTATGACTTTAAACAGCTCTACTTTACATTTATAGAATTTATAGAAAGTGGTTTTAGAGCTCAAAAATACCTAGAAACACAAAATTCTGACTCTGAGCGGGGTCGCCTCTCCACAGATCTGAACTGTAACTTGGTTTAGTTTGGTTTCCGTAAAGAAAGAATGATTTAATGCCACACTGTGAAACATTCCAGACAAAAGCAATAACATCTCCATGAAGAAAAGCTTTTGATAGACCCTCCCCCCCAAGAAAGTTACACAATGCAGCTTTAAATGATTTAATATCCAACTTTGTATTTTAATGGGCAAATTTTAGAAGTTTATTTAAAGATTTTAAAAAGCCCCTTTGCCAAAGATAATAGCCTTGTGGACTCGTGCAAATAGTGAAAATTATGGAAAAAATTTAATATAAAACTAAAATTCACGTATTTTTGGATAAACAACCATTGACCTAAATACTACCAATTACTTCAATTCAGTGCGGTGCCCTATGTAACTTTTCTCAGGAAGGGTCTGCCACTTGCTTGTCTCCATGGCGATGTTATTGATTTGCTTGAAAATGTTCCACAGTATGGCATTAAACTGATCTAGTTTGCGTTTATCAAAGTACAGGTGTTTTCATTCTCACAGTGAGCCGAGTCATCCCTCCACAGATCTGACCTGTAACTTGGCGTAGATACATTTAATGCCGTACTGCGGAACATTCACGGCAAAGCGGTAACATCTCCACGGAGACAACCAAAAAAGTTACGTAAGGCAACTTTTAATGAAATTTGACTTAACCAAATATCTTACGCGTTTTTCACAATTGATCGAATATTTTTAACGTTTTTAAATCCTAAAAAGTAAAATACAGCTACTACTAATAAATATGAACCATGTTGGCACGAGGCTTTCCTGAAATTTGCCAGATTTCCTCCAGATTTTCAACTAAAGGTGCACTGTGTAACTTTTCTAGTGGAGGGGAACTTCATTTGTTTGTTTCGATGTTCCACAGTATGACTTTTATAGCTCAAAAATCGCTAGAAAAACAGGCACTCTGACTGTGAGCGGGGTCGCCTCTTCGCAGATCTGACTTGTCACTTGGCCTGGTTTGGTCTGCGTGAAGATACAAAGGTTTAATGCCACACTGTGAAACATTCCAGACAAAGCAATAACGTCTCTACAAAGAAAATCTGACGGCGCCTCCACCAGAAAAGTTCCACAGTGCACTTTTAGAGTTTGGTTTTGCGCTGCTGGCACATATTACTGTTTTTCAAATGATTTCTGTATTTATTCTTGATCCGAAACGCCACAAATGTCACGTCCTGCTTCAAAACCCAAACCACTATGAAGACTGCGTAACTAAAGGTGCTTCTTTTTCTGTTGAATTGTCGGATTTTAAGGAGTTTTGTGGACACGGCGGTAACTGGTTTTGTTTTTAATGTGTGCCTCTTGAGTTCGGACGATTGTAACTAAAATATTCCGTGAATTAATTCGATAAATGGACAAATCGAGTGTTCCGAAGAAAGACAATTTAATCACTGTTAACCAAATGAGCTGGGTCTTTGGTGGCATTGGCCGTGTGCTTTTGATTATGCGGTTTGTTGTGTCCCTGGGCAAGACACTTGAGGTCAGAGAAGCCGTCGGCTGTAGGGATGCGCCGATCTGGAAACATTTACTGGATCGGATATCAGCTTTTTACTGTTTTTTGTGGGAATTTTGTTCTGTAGTTACTTTAGGGCTACAGTTTTTCTTTTTTTTTTCACTGGAACAGTTTTATTTTTTTGTTTTAACTAAATAAATGCTGTGTACCAGTTTACTAAACACTGGTATCGGTTGATATCGGCAGAAACTTAAAGCCATAGTATCGAAATTGGTATCAGAGCTGAAATTGCAGGATCGGTGCATCCCTCGCAAAAGTAACTCACTACCGCCGAGAGTGGAAAGCGACACAATAATGAACCACATTTTTATTTAATGTACATGAAATTCTCACAGGATTTAGAATATGTGATTATATAAGATTAATTGTTATATTGGACTCTGGCTCATCCCGATCCGTTTATCAAAATATTTAAGAGGCTCTGTGCACAACTGCGTCCGGCAATCACACTTGTTATTCCAACGTCCACCTGGAGAAAGTGCAATGGACCGGCCAATCGAATCAGTTTTTCGAGACATAAACTCGGGCTAGTTCAGTGCAGACCGAGTCGGGTGGACATTAAACTTTCTCGGACATACATATTTTCCCCAGTTCTCGCAATGGAACGCATTTACAAAGGATGTCGGGAGAACTGACTCAGATTTATCCACTACCGACATTCAATAGACTGCGACAATAGCGTCACTACCTCCTGTCTAATTGTGTATCTATGTTGTTTTTGTCTCAGTTTAAAATCGTCTCAAATTTAAATGAGTAAATATTTAAAGAGAAGGTCATGGAAAGCAATGGACTACACAAATCAAATGAAAACTTCAGCAGATGGAGGAGACTAAGGCTACGTTCAGACTGCATCCTAAAGTGACCCAAATCTGATTTTTTTTTGGCCCCTATGTTCCTGTATTTGATCTTTTAATGACAGTCTGAACGACACAGATCTGATTTTTTTCAAATGTGACCCAGGACACTTGGATATGTGCTCCTGAAACTGATACATATCTGATCTTTTGACATGTGACTTCAGTGTGAACGGCCAAAGTGCATTCATCCACCTACACGTTATCAACAAGACACAAACGTCACTATTCTGCGCTGAAGTGTGCGAGAATTGTTAATGAACTCCGTGTGACTGAAGTGAAGCACATCACCACTCACCACTCTTGGCTCCGTCTCCACATCCACACGTTCCTTTCAACGGACGTCGCTGCCGCTGCCCACAAAACACCACGACCAAAAACCTCGTCCTTCTCCTTCTCAATCTCCTCCTTAAAACAAGTAAGTTGTTCATGTTCTGGCTCCGGTACGAGAGGAACTTTAAAATCTCCAGGTGCTCGATGATGCGTCCATGTTTGGACAACTTCTGTAAACACAGAGACGCTCGCTGCGGTTGACGTCGTCGTGTCTCCAGTGCACATGCGGGACACTTTTGGGCCGTTTAATGTTCACACTGGAGTCACATACAAGTCACATTTAATTGGAAATGTGAACGACCTCGAAAAAACATCGGATTTCACAAAAAAATCTGAATTGAGAGTTAAGCCCTGCAGTCTGAACGTAGCCTAATGTGTTTAGAAAAAGATGTTTGCGTCTCAATGCTAATGCTAATTTTGAGACATAATCAATATTAAAACAACACAAACTGAAGTATTCTACATATAGAAATAATTGGGTACTTTTTACTTTATTTCATTTGAATTTGAATTGGTTTATTGCATATTTTACAATTTTAATAAAAGTGACCGTTAGCGTTGAGGCACGGTGAGCTAGCTAGTATGCTTTTGTGCACACGGCCTGTTTATCTTTGTTACATTACAAAAGTTTGAAACAGTCGTCGACAAGAAAAAAGATTTAAACCGACACACTACGTAACTTTTCTAGTGACTCACGGGTCCCGCTTGTCTCCATGGAGATAATGTTGCTTTACTGCGAATGTTCCACAGTATAGCATTAAATGTATGTATCTCACGTTAATTCAAATTACACATCTGACCCGCGAGTTCAATCGTTTTAATGCCGTGCTGTGGGACATTCCAGGCCAATTTGAGACAAACAGGTGGCAAACTCTTCACAGGAAAGGTCATGTAGTGCGGCTTTAATGTGCTTAAATTTGACTGGTTTAACAACGCAGACGTTTACGGACCAACTATAAAGATGACCACCAGTTTATGTGCTCAAAAATAATAATGAAACCTCAAAAATGCACCGGCCAACATTCCAAAGACCCACGTTTTTCAAATTTCGAAAGTCGACGAGAGAGGGGCTGGTTTTGGCGACTTGGTCTTCCCTTAAAAAAAACCCACCATTTCTTCCCACTTGTGCATCGCGTGCTCAAAAAGATCCCAAAACGAAACTCGCCCGACGCCAGTTTACCAGCAATACGACACGTTGAGAAAACCGACCGCCATTTTAGCCACTGAACGCATCCTAGCAGCTTAAACGTAGCATCTCCACACGCATGGTCTCACCTTGAAAACCTCCCTCCCCACTTCCTCTCTGTCTTTAGAAAAAAAATCTTAGAAGGAAATTATTTAATATATTTTTAGACTTGTTTTTTATTCCAGTTTTGTGTCCACCGATGGCATGCTTGCTTTCTTGTAAATATTGTAGAATAGAAAAACGCAAATTAACTCCCTCTAACTTCCTCAAGACCAGACGATACCACTGTATAGAAATTGTATTAGCCTGCACATTTTTGGAAAGGCTGTGAAGTTGATTTTATTTTTAAAACTTGCATACAAATGTATATATTTTCTTGATTTTTACCCTGCTAATATAGGATCTGTAGAGGATTCCTGTACCAAACCCAGAAGTTGTGTACTTTTTTTGTCGAATTGGTGATCTATCTGAAGTGGACGCCTTGTGGTTGAGAGTTCGGTTTGTACATATGATTCGAAAACACAGTTGGGTTTCTACCTCTCGGGCTCCGTATCTCTGTTTACCTCTGCAGAACGCTGTAGAGACGCTTTCCAAAATCTGAATGTCCAGTGGAGGTTTTATACGGAAAAACTCACATGGAAAAGTACGGTGGTGTGGGGGAAGTTCTGCTTTAAAGCGATGGGCGATGAAATCTAATGCGATTCAGGCTTCGGCGTTAAATCGTAAAATCTAAATATATCATTTGAATGGAAAAAAGGTAGAAATAAAACTAACAGCATTCATGTATCATTCGTTCATTTGTTTTTCAGAATAAAACCAAAAATAAGAAAATGACTAAACAACTATATTCTTCATTATTTGTCTCCAAAACTAAAATGAAAAAATAGATAATGATTTGTTTTTTCAGTTTTCAATTTTGTGTTTAAATGAAGAATGGAAAAAACAGATAACGTTTCCCGTTTCTGTGACTTGAACTGCAATGCCAGACTTTGGCACTGCATACGGACTGAACCAGGAGTAAACCAGGACTAAAAGACGACTAAAACTGGACTAAATTGGGTCTAAACCAGGTCTGAACCAGGTCTGAACCAGGTCTGAACTAAACCTGGACTAAACCAGTCTCAGTCCCGGTCTCAGTCCCGGTCTCAGTCCCGGTCTCAGTCCCGGTCTCAGTCCCGGTCTCAGTCCCGGTCTCAGCCCTGATCACCCGACAGTCAACAGGGGCACACCTCCGGGCCCGTCTCGAGACTCAGTACTGGTTCAGATCTGGTTTAGTCCTGGTTCAGTCCTGGTTTAGTCCTGGTTTAGACCCAGTTTAGACCTATTTTAGTCCTGGTTCGGCATTGCAGTTTAAGTCACGGAAACGGGAAATGACCCTTATCCATTTTTTCCATTATTCATTTACACACACAATCAAAAACTGAAAAAACAAATTGCCATCCATTTTCTTATTTTTGGTTTTATTTAGAAAAACGAATGATACACAGATTTAGCAATGTCATTATATAGGGATGGGACAAGACTTTGCGAGACAAAACAATCACAAGATCATGCACACATGAGAAAAATGGTTTTGTTAGACTTTTTTTTCCCCCTGAATTTACGTTTGACTTGGACAAAAAAAAAACAACAGTTAAGACCAATTTGATAAGCTGTAGCTCCAAAAATCAGTACTACAATGACATAAAATAAATAAAAATAGTGAATCCAAAATTATGAAACAGTTTGCACTACTTATTTATTATGATTTATGTCAAAGTCTTGTCTCGTGAACCTGATCTCGTGATGCGTCTCGTTTCGTGAAATTTGGGTCTTGTCCCACCCTTACCAGATCTGCAAATGCAAATCCAATTGATCAATTATTAGAATGACTTAATTTATGACAAAATATTGATAGTGCTGTGCAGATTTAAGGAAGATCGAAGCTTCCAAAGAAACCACTAAAGTCCAAAGAGTTTTACGTCTGAACATTCGCAAACTCTACAAACATCCAGAGAATGACGCTTTGTACAAAATGAAACATGCAATCGGACTTTTGGTGATATAATTTTTAAATACTAGATCTGAACTAAAGCATTTCCGTCAAAAGGAACAGTATTTAGGTAGTGACCGTTCAGATCAGAGAGTCTCAATATCTCTTTACAGTTGGGCGATATAGAGGTTTAAACATTTACTACCCGTGAACGACTTAAAGCTCCAGTTTTCGTCCATCGCTGGTCGCACGACTGCCCCCACACCGCTGTATCTGACCCCCCCAAACCACCTCCCTCTGTTTGTACCCGACCAATAGCCACGGTTTCTGACTGTTAGTGAACCTCTCCTGGATGGGACGAGCGAGAGGAGGCGGAGTTTTGAATCCACGGCCGCCGCGTTCTACAATAAAGTCATGATTTACTGCTCATTTACACATTTTCAGACAAGTTTAAAGCCGCGATGCCTAACTTTTCACGAGGGCCGTCGCCATGGAAGCAGGTATTTTGATTAGCGTGAAAAATAGGCACGGGCAGGGTCTCCTCGTCAGAGTTGAACTGTGACTAGGCCTGACAGTGATAAGATAAATGCCGTACTGGGAAAAGTTTCAAGCAAAGCCCACCTACAAGAATTTAGAAGATTACACCAGTTATATATTAAGTGATGATTTTAAATGATCAAATTACAAATGACCCATCAGCCATAACATTTTCACAATATTGCAATAATTATCATGAGATTTTGACATTTCTAGAACCTAAATACTTCAACCTGTATCACAATTTGTCAAACTCTCTCAAATCCTTAGTCATTTTTCTCAAAGTTTGGCCATTCTGTTGTCCTTAGGTTTCGTGCTGTGGATTCCATTTTGAGGACTTTTGACCTCTCTGTTGCTACCATCATCCATACCATCCTAATTAACTACTTACATTTGTATCCCTCTGAAATCCATGGATAACAACAATATAGTTCATCAAATTTGTTCAAGATGGCGTAACATTTCTGATTAAAAGTTTCTCTGTTTTGTTAAACTTCAGAATTTCTAGTTTGAAATTCACAAACAATATTTGGATATACTGAATACTTGGATATACTTGGATACTTGGCAGGGGAATCGATGGGGGGGGGGGCAAAATTAATATTAGAGGGGGACCCATGTGAGTCTTCTTACCCCGGGCCCCCAACGTTCCGTCGACGTCCCTGAGAATTGGAACCGTAATAGGTTCAAGCAATTGCAATAGTTAGAATGTTATGGCGATTATTACAAAATTCTTAAAAATTTCATAACATTTTAAATTCTGCTACCATGGAGACCCTGTTTCTCGTTTGAAATTCACTTACAATATTTATCAAATAGTTCAGCACTTTTCTAAACTAGGTCCAAAAGTCAGATCTGCGACAGTTAAAATGTTCATTACACCAATATAGCACATCAAAATGTTAACTGCGTAACATTTAAAGCGTCTATGACAGGTCAGACTACAAATTTAACTAAAACACACATAAGGTTGTTATATTTAAGATTTAGATTGTATAATAACAATTGTATAATTCTTTTCCGACTTTGGCCATTTTTTTAGATTTAAAATTTGACTCCCTTGTTGGAAATCGTGAAATCACACTAGGGCATTCCATAACTGTTCCCTAGCAATCTGGTTTAAAACTCCTTTTTTAACAAATAAAAAAAAAGAAAACGCCTTTATTTTATTGAAATCATGTTTAAAGTATCAGGAAAATGTGTTTCTTTTATGTAAATTGTGACGAACTTTTGGGCAGAAGTCTAAAATAGAACTCTCCACTTCCTGTAATTTTCCATATTTTTCAACTTTTTCTTTACAAATTCCTTCTCAAAACCTGTCATACGTAATTCCTAGTTTTAAATCCACAAACAATACTTCAGATCTCAGGAAAAGCTCGGTCGGCCATCTCATGTCCCGGCTCTCCCTCCTCTCCCTCCTCTCCTCTTTGTGTACATGTAGTAGTTTATACAACGGCATACACCATTTTGTGTTCGAACGACGTACTTGAAGCGATTTTATTTCAAAAACGACATTTTGGTGAGAGACTGAAGACTACTGGACTCTGTTTGGATGCGTAATTCCCTCAACAATGTTTGTATATTTGATGTTTTAATCAGATGCATTGTAATTTGAAATATGAAGATGTGTCTATGAAGCACTGGAGGAAACATCTGGAAACTAAACAATAAATGTGACTTTGAACGGAAGACGGTGGTTGTGTATTCTTTACTATTATTATTACTTAAAGGTGCATTGTGTAACTTTTCTGGTGGAGGGTCCGTGAGATGGTTTTCTTCATGGATATGTTATGGGTTTGTTCTGGAATGTTTCACAGTATGGCATTAAACCTTTCGATCTTCAGAGTCAGAATGTCTGTTTTTCTAGGTATTTTTGAGTAATTAAACAACCTTTAACTGAGTAAATGTAACAGAGTTGTTTAATGTCATACTGTGGAACATTCCAGGCACCTTTAACATTGTGGATACTTGAAGAGGGGTTATGTTAACCTGATACATCAGGTGGTTTCGATTCGTAGAAACTGTCTGACCTCACAGTGTTAGAATTCATTCGCTTGAGGGTAGGCGGATACTTTTTTATTTAACCAATCGCTGCTATTTGGTCATGAGGTATGTAATGCACCGCTAACTGGGGTAACTGGTATATTAAGCTTTTCCTAAATCCCATAGGAAGAAGGACAATAACATCTTTCCCCTTGATAAAATTCACCAAACATTCTCTTTATTCCGGCTTTAAATCCTCAATCTTGGGAATCATTGTCAACACAAAATGTCTGGCTCTTTGCTGATTGGCTGGTGCCCGGACTCGCACTTCTGAGGGTCTTACAAACCATTTAGTGTATTTTGATTCCTGACCTAGTCACTGGAGAGAAACGAAATTGAGCGGCAGCACTAGATGGCGCCAACCTGGCTAAGGTTATGTGAGGTTCATGAAAAAAACCTATAACTTTCTATCATGTTACTCCTCTATAGGCGAGTTTCAGCTGACATCATTGTTATTAAAAGCCTGCGTTGCATGCTGGGAAATATTTTGGTTGGAGGCAAGAAACACGATAGCGTCAAACACAGTGCGTAACCTCGCGTATTTCTCCCCGATAATGGTAAATTCCTGCTGCATTATCAGATGCACAAATAGAAGCACGGAAGAAGGAAAATGTCTTTTTCGTATTCTGAGTGAAAAGAACCACTAACGGTGAATTAAACGGCTTTCAAACATCCGCAGAGCAAACGTAGAAGATCCTAACAAACCGTGGACTCCAACAAATTCAACACATCGAGACTCTTGGAGGTTTTCATCTTTTCTGCTGTGAATGGCCCAGGAGTTTCCACCAAGTCATTGTGGATATCGCCCAAGTGAATATTTGTCCAGGTAGTTGGCGATTCTGACCAGAAGTTTGGTTTGGTCCACCTTTTGTCGGGGTTGAAAAGGGTGATTTGTCGTCCATTGATGTTTATGACCAATTTCTGGTCAAATGGTCTTGGGTCCTCTGCCGTTAGAGTGGATAAATAACCGGGATCAATACCCTTTACGTGCTTTCTCGCTCCGTCCGTCATGTTGAATTGGTGTTTATTGCCGCTGACCAAAATAATTCCCAGCATGCAACGCGCACTTTTGTCAAAAATCAAACTCGCCTGTAGTTTTTAGATGTCATCTATGCATGTTTTAGTAATCTAGAGATCTCACCCGGGCCATATTCGAACCTTCCTTATGGTTAGCTGTAAGATTCTGTCCAATGCTCCGCCCACAAGCCTACTTGACACATTTTCCCACACGACAATTGTCAATACAGGATATGAAACTGCACACAATAATTTCACAAACCTGATATGATGTGCAGTAGTTTCATTGTGAGAGACTCAGAGCATCAAAAATGTATTCTGTGTTAGCAGTTAATACCAAGTAAAGTAAATAAAATACTTCATCTTTAAAAGGAACTGGAATGTTTTACTTCCTGTTTTAAAAGGTTATTACAATCACAACTGACCCTGTGTCTCCAGAGCAGGAGTCTCCAACCTGTTTCCTCCGTTGAGCTAATTTTACAAAACGAAAATGCTGAAGAGCTACTACTTTTAGCGGTCATAAGAAATTGAATGAATGTAAGAGCTATGGAGAGCCTTAGATGCCTATTAAACATAAACTATTATTCATTTATTAGTGCACAAAGTTGGGCATTAAAATGACACATGCACAATGGTGATAGGCGTTTAATCAATCACATTTTACTCATTCAGTACAACATGTGTAATTCAGAAATCCTTTGGTGAGCTACTTGAAAACGGGTGGAGAGGTACTAGTACAGGTGTCACCAAATTATTTTCTCTGGGGGCCACATTATCACTCTTGACTGTGACAGGGGCCGGGGTCAGGTAGGTCATAAAACAGAAATGTATGGCCCAGACCAAACTGACCACCAGCTGACCTCACTGTGTAGTAGAAGTGACGAGCCTGACAGCCATCCACAACACTGTATCAACACATCATTCCTGCCTCATGTGTGTTTATTGTTACTAGTGGGTCTTACTAATGTCCTTAACTGCACTACAGACCTGCACGTGCCTTGACTGTCACTGTTTGATCTTGAGTTTGTCAGGTTACAAAAATTAGGCAGCAAATGTAAATACGTCATATAATTATTGAAATATAAATACTTCATAATTTTTTTTTTTTTGGAAAAAAAAAACAACAAAATACAAGATGCAAACATGTTCTTATTTGCCAAAAATAATAATAAAAAAAAAAATAGGCCATGACAACTTTCTAGGATTGCTTCATAGGGCCAGTCAAAGGGGCATGGAGGGCCAGAGTTGGCCCGTGAGCCTAAGTTTGATGGTCCCTGTACTAGTAGCTCCCAAGCTACAGGTTAGAGACCCCTGCTCCAGAATCTTAACCTGTAGATAGAAGGCACATCCTGGATTTGTCTCATTCTCAGTTTATGTTCAGGCCTCACGTGAAAGATCAGAACCTCCAGAAATCCCTCCCTGAGCTGCAGAGGCTGCACTAGCACTGGCTCAGGATTGTCTGCAGGGGCTGGGGTTTAGGGAGAGACCCTCGAGTCCTCAGGTATATGTGTATACATTCAAGGTATTTTGTCATATTGAAATCATTTCACGATAGATTCAATGTCAGGCTTTTTTTTAATTATATAAATATGTCAGTATAACAGAATAAAAAATGTAAAGTGCAGATGACTTTCTGAAGTGTGACGGAGTGTTTTCAGCACAGGAACCCGATCTTCATCTTCTCATCAATGTTCACTTTCTCTAAACACTGAAGAAAAGCCCACGGATTAGAGAGAAAAGAACCAGAAACCAGGTCAACATGTGGAAAGGCAAAATGAGAAGAGCAGTAGCAGCAACAGTAGTAGTAGTAGTAGTAGTAGTAGTAGTAGTAGTAGTAGTAGTAGCAGTAGCAGTAGTAGTAGCACTAGCAGTAACAGTAGTAGCAGCAATAGTAGCAGTAGTAACAGTAGTAGCACTAGTAGTAAAAGTAGTAGCAGTACCAGTAGTAGTAGCAGTAGCACACTGATGGTTTAGGCTCAGATTTAGACCAGTTGTAGAATGTAACAAAGTACGAAAGTAAAAACGATACTTTTTTTACAATATTTTTTAAGGTATCTGTACATTACTATACTGTAAATTTACTGTAAATGTACTGTAGGTGCATTTTAGCGAAGATACATTTTACTTTCACTTCACTACATTTGAGAGCAGGTATGTGTACTTTCTACTCCACTACATTTTATATGTGGACTGAAAAGTAAAGAGTACATTTCTTTATAGTTTGAGAGCTGCTGAAATGGATTAGACTAATTTTTGTCACATTTAATTTGAGTTAACATCCTAAATTTGAGCAACACACACAGAAGTTTTAAAAATCACTGTTCTAAAAATCTCTGCAAAGTACTTTTACTTTTTACTTTTAAAGTGCATTTTAAAAAACAGGTACTTTAATACTTTTACTTAAGCAGATTTTTTCTTATGATACTTTTACTTGAGTAATCTTTTGCCCCTGTATGTGTACTTTTACTTGGGACTGACCTTCTTAAACTCGTCGAATGAAATGGCTCCGTCCTGATCCAGGTCGGCCTCTTGAATGGCCTTCTCCACAATGCTCTGCAGCTGCTCGTCCTCCATCCCCAACATCTCCTGAAGCACCTGCACACACACACACACACACACACTAAGACCTGCTCCATACACACACACACACAAACACTCAGACCTGCTCCATACACACACACACACACACACTCAGACCTGCTCTATACACACACACACACTCAGACCTGCTCTATACACACACACACACACACGCTCAGACCTGCTCTATACACACACACACACACGCTCAGACCTGCTCCATACACACACACACTCAGACCTGCTCTATACACACACACACACACACACACACACGCTCAGACCTGCTCCATACACACACACACACGCTCAGACCTGCTCCATACACACACACACACACGCAGACCTGCTCTATACACACACACACACACTCAGACCTGCTCTATACACACACACACACACACACACTCAGACCTGCTCTATACACACACACACACATCAGACCTGCTCTATACACACACACACACACACACACTCAGACCTGCTCTATACACACACACACACACTCAGACCTGCTCTATACACACACACACACTCAGACCTGCTCTATACACACACACACACACACTCAGACCTGCTCCATACACACACACATGCACGCAGACCTGCTCTACACACACACACACACACACACACACACACATACACACCCCCCCGCTAAGACCGCCTCTGCACACACATACACACACCCACTCAGACCTGCTCTATACACACACACACACACACACACACGCTCAGGCCTGCTCTACACCTAATGTAGACGGGGGTTAGACCTGGTTTAGGTCTGGTTTAGACCTAGAGTTGGACCTGGTTTAGAACTGGGTTAGACCTGGTTTAGACCTGAGTTAGATGTAGTTTAGACCTGGTTTAGACCTAGTTTCTACCTGCTCTACATCTGCTGTAGACTGGAGTTAGACCTGGTTTAGGCCTGGTTTGGACCTACTCTACACCTTCTGTAGACCGGGGTTAGACCTGGTTTAGACTTGGTTTAGACTTGGTTTAGACCTGGTTTAGACCTGGTTTAGACCTGAGTTAGACCTGAGTTAGACCTGGTTTAGACCTGAGTTAGACCTGAGTTAGATCTGGTTTAGACCTAGTTTAGACCTAGTTTAGGCCTGGTTCAGTCCTAGTGTTAGACCCACAGTTAGCCCTGGTCTAGGTCTGGTTTGGACTGGTTTAGACATTTATACCTGATTAGGACCTTGTGGTTTAGATCTGCCTCAGACCTGGTGTAGATCCAGGTTGGACTTTACTTGGGGCCTCACAGGGAGTAGTGCCATTTGAAGTGCACATTGAGGCGGTGTAAAATTTGTCTTAGTCAGTGGCACCTATTGAGTTCTGTACTTTTTATGATGCTCTGAATCACTTATTTATTTGCGTCTTAACTATTTTGGAGGATCATCTTTTTTGGTAAGTGCATCTGACCTGAAGCATTTCACCTCTGGAGATCTTCTCGTCTCGATCCTGATCGTACAACTGAAAAAGAACTGTGGAAAAACAAACAAATATTCATTCAAGTGTAGAAGGAATTTATACTTATACTTTATACAACGAGCAGATGGCACTGTTTTATGATTTTTGACCAAAGAAAGTCAAGCACTAGTATTAGGACTTAGAGTAGTGATAGTTGTTAACATAGCAGTAGTAGCAGTAGTAGTAGTAAAGAGGTGGGATAATAGTAGTTTAATAATAATTGATAATGCTCACAGCGTAGTTTGCTGTTGGGGCTGTTGTACGCGTCTTGGGAGGAGGTCTTGTTCCGGTTGGAGCCGCTCCACTGAAAATGAGCCATAACCCGAACAAAAGAGGGAAAGTCCACCGAGTCTTTTCTGCAAACAGACAAGAGCTAAATACACACTTAAAAATACTACACGTCACTTTCCTGATGGAGGATGGAGAACGATGTACTAGTGGCAGTGGCAGTAGTAGTAGTAGTAATAGTACAGTGAGTGTAGTAGTAGTAAAGTGACAGTAGTAGCACAGTGACAGTGATAGTAGTAGAAGTAGTAGTAGTAGTACAGTTACAGTAGTAGTAGCAGTAGTACTACAGTTACAGTGGGAGCAGGACAGTGACAACAAAAGCAGCAGTAGTAGTACAGTGACAGTAGTAGTAGTAGTACTAGTAGTAGTAGCAGTAGTACAGTGACAGTAGAAGAAGCGGCGGCAGCAGCATAGTAGTAGTACTAGTAGTATAGTAGTAGTAGTAGTATAGTGACAGTAGAAGTAGTAGTAGTAGTAGTAGTAGTAGTATAGTGACAGTAGTAGTAGTAGTAGTAGTAGTAGTAGTAGAAGTAGTACAGTGACAGTAGAAGAAGAAACAGCAGCAGCATAGTAGTAGTACTAGTAGTATAGTAGTAGTAGTAGTAGTATAGTGACAGTAGAAGTAGTAATAGTAGTAGTAGTCTAGTGAGAGTCACTTCTCCACAGATGTGACATGTAACTTTGTGTTTTGGATATTTACCCTGGAGAGAAGAAGGCTCCAATGATCCTGTCTTTGATTGGATTCACTGCCAGCCCTGAAAGCACTTCGAAATCCTCCACTCTGCACAAATGAAGTTAAAAAAGAAAAAAAAAAAGCTTTATACTCAAAAAGAGCAAATGGAGAATAGAAACTGGGGTAAAATTAGGATTGTTTCCATAGCGATTAACAATTTAAAGGTGCACTATGTAACTTTTCGGCTGAGGTACCCTCAACAGTTTTTTTCTATGGATACATCATTACTGTCTGGAATGTTCCACAGTGTGGCATTAAATAGCTCTACTTAATATTTATTCAATTCCAGGTGGTTTTAGAACTTAAAAAACCTAGAAAAACAGACATTCTGACTATGAGCGGGGTCGCCTCTCCACAGATCTGACCTTGGTTTGGTTTGGTCTCCATGGAGATAGAAAGGTTTAATGCCATACTGAAACATTCCAGACAAAGGCAAAGGATTCCACCTGGAGGAGTGAGATTTTTTTTACACTTTCCAACAGCTCTATAGAGAAAAGTGTTTGATGGACTCTCCAACAGAAAAGTTACACAATGCATCTTTAAAGGACAGCTACATTTCTTTTTACTCTTTTTACTTACTGATTAACTGTGCAAATACTTCTAAAATTGAGATATCTACATATTCATGACCTTATTTTAACAATTGAGTGCGTCTTAGCTTAACCCTTAAATAAATACCAGACACACTTGCATTGAAAAGGTGAAGTCAAAACTCTGAATATAAAATGGTGGATTACCTGAGAGCTCCTCTTCCGTCTTGGTCCAGTTGCTCAAACCTTTCGTACAGACTCTGGATGTGAGAAGCTGAGACTGTAGAACACAAAACATGCAGTCAAAGTGAGTCATAATGCTACTTTACAGAACATTTGACTTTATTTCAATGGGTTTTCATATACAGAGTGTCCCAAAAAAAATTGACATCATTTCGCAGGTCAATAATTGTAGTACCAGTAGTAGTAGTAGTAGCAGCAGCAGTAATAGTAGTAGCAGTAGTAGCAGCAGTAGTAGCGATAGTAGTAGTAGTAGTAGTACAGTGATAGTAGTAGTAGTAGTAGTACAGTGATAGTAGTAGTAGTAGTAGTACAGTGATAGTAGTAGTAGTAGTAGTACAGTGATAGTAGTAGTAGTAGTAGTAGTACAG